GCACTTCAATTCCATGCTGGAAGAATACCTTCGGCACTTTATCTCTACTTCGCAGAAAAATTGGGTGAAGCTTTTGGAGGCAGCTCAAATGTGTTTCAATGCCCAAAAGAGTTCTTCCACCAATAAGAGTCATTTTGAGATTGTGGTGCGGAAGCGTTTAGAAATTCTTATAATAAGAATTATGTAATAAATAAAAATGATATTTGAACAATCATGTCTTGTATATATTGAATAATAATTGATTGTTGTTGAAAAGTGTACAATATTCCTATATTTATAGGCAAAATTATTCCCTAATCCTATTAATAAAAGGAAACTAAAATGAGGAAACTAATAAAATCTTAATCTAATTGAAAATCTTATTCTAATCAATAAATAAAAGAAATCATATCTAAACAAGAAATAAGAATAAAAAAATAAATATATTAGAACTAGAAAAGATAAATCACAATTGTAGCAGAAAACTACTAATAATGATTATGTACTACATCATATTGCTACTGGCCAGCAATCGTTACTCTCTCATACTGTGGATATCGATCAAAGTACTAAGTCCCCTCAAGCAAGGTGGAAACGAAACATTGAAATTGCTCGGAGTTATCTTGAGAAAGCTCAGAAACGGTACAAGAAGTCTGCAGATCAAAAGCGTCGTTTCCTTGAATTCAATATTGGAGATCTGGTAATGGTTAAACTCCATGACATTAGCGTTTATAAACCGACAAAAGGGAAAGATTCAAGATTGGTGTCAAAATATATTGGACCATTACCAATCGTGAAGAGGATTGGAAGAGTCACTTACAGAGTTNGAAGGTTGCTGAAGAGATCCTTGACCATCAAACTACTCGAGTTTCCAGAAAATATCATCAAGAATATTTGGTCAAATGGAGTGGATGCAATAGCAAGGATAATACTTGGGAAAGTGAAAAAGACTTTGGAGCTTTCAAACCATTAATTGAAACATATCATTCATCGATGGGGGAAAATGTCAAGGATCGCAGCTTCAACTAGCCCCTTGACCTAATCGCATCCACAATTTGCCCAAGTTCGACCGCACATTGTAAATTTTTTATTTCAATTGTTAAATAGATGTGATATTGGAAAAGTTTAGTGTGATTCCTCGGAATTTAAACGTCTACTCCCATCACTTAGGTTTTTGTGTAGAATACTATTATAGGGGGTATTAGTCTTTCAAACAATCTTTCAAGTTTTATAGTGTTCGCCCCCTGCACTAGCCATTGTAATTTCGCGTTTTCGTCTATTGTAATTTTTAGCTTTCAAGCAATCAATGATCAATTTAGTTTCAATGCATTTCAATTTCATGTTGCAAGCTTTCTACAAATTGTAATCAAATTGTCTTTCGTTCCTAAACGACCGAGAGAAGGCTGAAGGTAGTCTAGCGGAGCAGACTACTGCCGCACGGTGTCCTGTGCCAAGAAGAAAGGAACCCCATGAAACTATGACTGTCACGGTACTCATTCTCTTCATCGTTATAAGGAGCGTTTCTTTAGAAACATTAAAGTAAATGCTCCTACTTTTGATGGTTCCTTTGATTATGAAGTTTTTACTCAATGGACTGCCCTTATACGGGGGAATCGGCTAGTGATTGAGTGTATCGCTCAATTTGAGGAATTTCAAATGAAATGTCTTGTTATTTAGGATGATGCCCTGACTTTGCATAGGTTTAGACAAGGTCTAAGAGATGATCTTAGGCGTGAGCTTTTCCTTCGAGGTGTGACTACTTAGAAGACCTTCCCTGTCTAATGTTCCTCCTTTGTTGAAAAATAAGGGTAAAATTTTTGAAATTCCAAGGACTTATTCTTACTTGCAGTGCTTCAAGTGTAAGGACTTTGGCCATATCTATTCTAAATGTCATAGCCGAGCCTTAGTCATTGAAGAACGAAAGAATGTGATAGATGAGCCGTTAGAAGATCTAGTCTATGAACCTAAACTTGAAGATTTTGATGACTTGGATGATAGTAAGGACACCTCCTTAGGTGGGACTCTTCTCAAGAATATAGTTCCTATATCCCTTGTTCCCAACACCTCTTGATTACGTGTTATATGTCATACCCTTACCCAATTGAAATAGGCTGATGATTTCACTATTCACTTTTGAAGAACCTTGTCGCCTATGGTTAGCACTAAATTTAAATTCTCTCGACCAACCTCTGACTGATGGTCAAATTGAAGTTGCTAACCAAAGTCTTGGCAATTTATTGAAGTGTCTAGTCCAGGAAAATATTGGGAATTGGGATTTGATCCTCCAAGTAGTTCAAATTGCATATAATAATTCTGTAAATCAGTTTCTAGGTTTGAGTCCCTTTGAATTTATTTATGGTTATAAGCCTAAGAGGCCTTTAGACCTTATTCCCATGTTCCCACATTCTAGTTTGTCGATGTCTGTTAAGGCATTTGTACATCATGTTCGTGATTTGCATATTGAGATCAATAAATAACTTGAATCAAGTAATGCATCATATAAACTTGTAGCTGATTTGCATAAACGACACTGAATTTAATATTGGGGAGTATGTTATATTGCAAGCTTGTAGTGCCAGTCCTTTTAAAATTTTAAAACATGTTGGTTCAAATGCACATGTCATTGATATTTTATCATATTTTGGTCACCAGTCTATTTTAACTGTTAGGGATTTCGTTGCTTATAATGGATATTTTAGCTCCTCTAATGATCATTTTCTACATCTACATGGGAGCTTCTACATTGAATCTTTTGCTATGTCTACTTCAATACCACCTGTCACAGCATACAAAGATAAAATTAATGTTATTTTAGATGAACGGATTGTGTTGACCAATGATGGAGAGATTCGTTGCTTGCTTGTTCGTTGGGTGGACCGATCTGATTCTGACTGTACATGGATTGTCGGAGAGAAGCTCCAACAAATCTGGATCAAGCTTGAGTTTCGGTATTTGTTTCTTCAGAAAGATTGTCCACGATTTGTCCACTCAATAGAGTCAAGTTTTCCTCGCACCCTGGTAGAGTTGATGAGATCATCACCTATTTTGAACTTCTACTTGTGGGCTATTTATTTTATGTTTTATTAGTTAATTGGATTGTATTTATGGACTGGCCCAAGGCCCTTTTCTGCTTTAGGTTTGCTCGTTTTCTTATATATATATGGATGTGTACTGTAACTTAAAGAAGCAGTTGATGAATAAAATGAATTAAGATTGGCTTTGCCCCCGTGCTCCCTTACCCCTTCGTCTTCTTCCCCTGGTTTTCTTCTCCGGTTTCTTCCCCCTTTCTCTTGGGTCCCCTCCCTGTTGCCTTCTTCTTCTTCTTCTTGCTGGAATTCTTCTGCTGCTTCTGCTCTTCTCTTTCTCTACTGGAATTTAATTGATGCTACATCACTTACAAACTGCTAATTGGTGTGGATCTCCAATTGAAGTGCGAGCTGGGTCTATTTTCAGGGGGCGAAGAAAAATTCAATTCGAAAAGCCAGACTCACAATCTGGGAATTTTGTGCATGTGCGCAACATGTTATGGAATTTTCATGGATACTGTTCTAATTGTAGGTGGACAATTGAGTGCAGTTGGAGACTTAGTATATGGGAATTTGTGTCCGTACCGCTTCAATTCATTGGCAAAGAAGAAGAATGAAAAGCTGGGGCCCAAGTATTTCACTCCGTTTGAAGTAATAAAGCATATATGGCCTATGGCAAATCGATTAAAACTGCTGCCCGTTGCTACAATACACCCCGTGTTTCAAGCCTCAAAACTAAAAGAAGGCGCTAGAATCGCAGGTGGCCAGCCAACTGCTTCCTCCCCTTCTTGATGCTAATTTGGAGTGGATTGTAGAACGCGATCAATTTTTGGACATCCACCAAACATCAGAGGGGCAGCCTGCGGGTAAAGAGTATTAACTCACTGGAAACAACCCCCTCCCCCCTCCTGATGCTTCCTGAAAATTAGTAGAATCCATTTTACAACACTTCCACCTTGAGGACAAGGTGTCCTTGGAACCAGGGGGTAATGATAGGCCTCCAATTCTACAAGAGCCCGGAAGAAGTGAGAAGAATATGCACCAACAGAATTCTGTTGTGGCAAGTGTGTGT